GGAAGACAGGATGACAGGAGGACAGTAAGACAGGAGGAAAGAAGGGCAGGATGACTGGAGGACAGTAAGACAGGAGGACAGTAAGACAGGAGGACAGTAAGACAGTAGGACAGGATGACAGGAAGACAGGATGACAGGAGGACAGTAAGACAGGAGGACAGTAGGGCAGGATGACAGGAGGACAGTAAGACAGGAGGACAGTAGGGCAGGATGACAGGAAGACAGGATGACAGGAGGACAGTAAGACAGGAGGACAGTAGGGCAGGAGGACAGTAAGACAGGAGGGTATTCAGTGCATTACAACAAAAAATAAGTATGGAAAAAAGAAAAGTATAAACACTCAACCAAAACTACCTACTACATATGAACTGTCCTAACACCACACACCTGCAACTTCAGAAAAGCCATAAAATAGAACCAATTAGGTTGGTATCACATTTGTATCACACCGGTATCAGGTTGGTATAACAATTGTATCAGGCTAACATCACACTTGTATGAGGCTGGTATCACATTTGTATCAGGCTGGTATCACATTTGTATCAGGCTGACATGACACTTGTATCCCACTTGTATCAGGCTGGCATCAAACTTGGATCAGGCAGGTATGACACTGGTATTAGGTTGGCATCACAATTGTATCAGGCTGACATTACATTTGTATAAGGTTGGTATCGCATTTGTATCTGGTTGGTATCAGGCAGGTATCCCACTTGTATCAGGCTAACATCACATTGGTATCAGGCTAACATCACATTGGTATCAGGCTGACATCACATTGGTATCAGGCTGACATCACATTCGATGAGCCGCCAATATATACCTGAAATTTCCATTTACAGCATTGGTGCACCGGAAGATATATTGATTCCATTGTGACATAATATGAAATGTACAATACAAGCCGGGTATATGAGTGAAGATGGACAATTCATTTAATAATCATGTGATTATCTATGCACCGAGCCAGACGATGTTTTAAGAGTTTTAAGGTTGTTTGTCTATATAAGTGAAATGAATTAAAAGTATATTTTGTGCTTATTTATATATTGAGGATACTGAGAGTTTCCGTTTAAATATCATCCCCACAAATAATATGAACAATAAACCACCTAATGTTTTATAGGCTCCAGAAATGTAATCTTTATCTTACATAGAGCCTAAGAGAGTCCAACTCTTCAAGTTGGATCATTAATATTGTAATATTACTAAAGCCTAATTAAAACTTCCATTTAAAGACATTCCAGGTGCATAAACAGAACATGAGATGGAGGGACCGGCCCAAACAAGCTTACAGTCTCAGAAGAGGGACGGGTATAATTAATGGAGATTGAAGAGCATTTCTTCAGTGGACACCAAAGATTTGGAGGAAATCCATAGAAGAAACACAAAGGAAAAAATAATAAGTATACACAAAATAAATGTATAAACACGGAGATAACGACTACTTACATCTGGGCTGTCCACACAACATAACATTTTAACTTTAGAAACACTGAAAAGTTTTCTGAGAGCGAAAATCCATAAAACAGAACCAGGTTGGTGTCACACTTGTAGATGGGGCTCCATAACTCTCCTCCCGGGCAGATAGGGGCATCATGATACACAATATTGCCAAAAGTATTGGGACCCCCCTCCATATCATTGGATTCAGGTGTTCCAATCACCTCCATGGCCACAGGTATATAAAATCACGCACCTCGGCATGCAGACACTTCTACAAACATTTGTGAAAGAATGGGTCGCTCTCAGGAGCTCAGTGACTACAAGCGTGGTACCGTGATCGGTTGTCACCTGTGCAATAAGTCCATCCGTGACATTTCCTGGCTACTAAATATTCCGCGGTCACCTGTTAGTGGTATTATAACAAAGTGGAAGCAACTGGGAACAACAGCAACTGTGGACATGTCTGGGTTTGTATATGGGGGAGTTTGGGGTGGAGGAACGTGACTGGCCTGCACAGAGTCCTGAACACAACCCCATGAATTAGAGAGGAGACTGCGAGCCCGGCCTTCTCGCCCAACATCAGTACCTGACCTCACAAATGGTCCAACATTCCCATAGACGCACTCCTAAACCTTGTGGATGCCTTCCCAGAAGAGTTGAAGCTGTTATAGCGGCAAAGGGCGGAGCCAACTCAATACTGAACCCTACAGACTAAGACTGGGATGTCATTAAAGTTCATGTGCGTGTAAAGGCCGGCGTCCCAATACTTTTGGCAATATAGTGTAGATTGGTCTACATTGGAAATCTGTAGTCTACATGTTGGGGAGAACTCTCTTCTCAGTGAAGGTTCAGACTTCTCAGACTCATTTTTGAGTTTTTGGCCAAAAAATAAACCATCTATTTTAATTTTTTTTTACATTTCTTAGTGACCCTGGTAATGAAATACTTTAGCTTACCTGGAGCTTCAGAGGGTCCAACTCTTTCTGTTGGGTTATTTATTATTTTTTTGTATTCATATTAAAGCCAAACTAAACTTTAATTTCACCTTCCATACCATGTTTTATGTTACACCCACATGTGACACGTTGCCATTCTGCAGCCGCCAGCCCCCAACTGCCCCCCGCTTACCTGAATAGAGGAGTGCTTCTCCCCGCAGGCTTCTATAAGTCTTTGACTACGGCACAGCCGCTTCATTCATTCACAGATCCATTCACAGGAACCGTGAATGAAAAAAACTATAAGTCCAGTTTGCCACTTCGGCAGAGGGACTCATCATTTCCAATGTAACGTGAGGTGACACAAAAGCCCGCCCACTGCCAGCATGCTGCAGAGAAGGAGCCTTGTTCTCTGTGTGGAAGCCGTGGTCTTTCTGCAGGGGGTCCAGCATGCCCCCTGCTAAGTCAGAACTAGAGCTCTACAATCAGCAGGGAGCATGAGCTTAGCTGATTGCAGACCTGTAGGTCTGACTCAAAACAAGGGACCGCAGTATAGAGACCACCGCTTACACAAAGAGAGCAAGGGTCCTTCTCTGCAGCAAGGACTCTTGCTCTCTGTGTGGAAGCAGTGGTCTCTCTGCTGATGTCCAAGACGTCCCTTGATGAGTCAGACCTAGAGATCTGCAATCAGTAAAGCTCATGCCCCCTGATGACTGGATAATTAAAGGCCTGGCTAAGCACATGGGGGGAGGGGCGGGGGGTTGTTTGGCCTCTCTATATCTAATTCTGTGACTTCACTTGGGCTTTAAACCCTCAGACATGAACGCCAATGAAGAATCAGAAGATCCTGACATAGAAAAGATTCTCTCTCCACGTGGCAAACTCACCTTCTGGAGGTAGACACGGGTCCCAGATAACTCTTCTATGGGCTTCTTTTTGTACATCTCAATCAGGTCTGTGAGCGTGTCATGTTTTGTATCCCCCAAAGTATATCTCTCACCCTGTGTAGAGAAAAAGAAATAACAGGGTCATGATAACAGAGGGGGGTCATGACAACAGAGGGGGGTCATGACAACAGAGGGGGAGGCTGGAGAGGGGTTCTTACTGTTGCTAATATACTGCAACTATGTATTTTGAGCACTAGATGGCGCTGTAGTATTATCCGCGAAGGGACACTCAAGAGCAAGCCATTATCAACATGCAATATTGCTCCACAGAAGAAATGACTGCGGACGCACTCACCAAGCAAAGGATCGTCACAGTTTCCTTCAAGAGAAGCTAAACATCATATAGCAACGCGTATGCTGTTGAGAAGGGGCGTTGGAAATGCAACAGCATATGCTAATACTGTAACTGTACTGTAATACAGTTACAGTAACTATGTACTGTAACTATGTCTTTTGAGCACTAGATGGCGCTGTAGTGCAATGTAAGTCTATGCTACTTTTTCTATGTATATGCTTTTATCTATGATCTTTAGGTTTCCTGTATGGTGCTGTATACTGTACACAAATGTAACGTCCTCTTATAAGCAAGTAAAGCTTTATTCAAGATCTCAGTGCTTCATCTAAAGACATAACCAACACTCACAAGGCTCTCTGCGGGTCATGAAACATACAGCCATTTCTCATCTCTATGTACGCTGTCTATTACTGGCCTCTTAGTCAAATTTTGGCAGGTAACACTTTCCCCAAATACGTATATAACTGTGTATTCAGCCCCTTGTATTGTGTTCAGCTTTAAATTAATATTGGGACTATGACAGCACTGCTTCCACAACACCCAGCCCGTCCTACATCTAGCTGATTTCAGATAAGGGCTCAGTGCCCCGCCATAGAAGTCAATGACCTGAAGGTTGTGGAGCATCAAACAAGCTTACGTGTCTAAGTGGAAGCAGTTGAACTTTTCAGAAGAACTTCTTTGCGATGGAAAGTCTCACCTCGCACATGATCTTGATGTGAGTCACTCGAGGCTTTCCGTCCTTCATGTCGGCTGTGAGGACGGAGATGACGAAATCTCCAGGTTTACTGCGGCTCTCTCGGACCAGGAAGGTCCATGGTTCTCCCTTCTCCTGGAGTAGCTTCTCCGCATCGGGTCCTGAGAGATAGCCGTGGTACCAGCTGTGGACAGAAAGGACAAGCAGACAGTCATACTGGTGGCGGTTACAGGAATATAGCAGTCGGTGACTGGAAGGGTGACATCATACGCGTGGCCACCCAGCCGTGTTCCATCAGGAGAAAAATGGTGTTCCCAGGATAAAAGCTTACTGGCCATAGGTTGCTTTCAGGCACCAGGGTAGTCTAATGCACATCTATGCCTGCATGCAAAACAAACCCCAAGCAAGAAAGTTGTATTCCCTGCTCATATTCCGTTGGGAAGGAAGGAGCCAGGGAAAGCAATGTATAATTAGGGTAAACATCAGCTTTAAATGAAAATAGTGTAAGAACCTAATTTTTGCTCTGGTTTCAGGCTCTTGCAGTCTGTGTGGCAGACCTTAGACTGCAAGAGGGAGAAGCAGCACTGTGAACCAATTAGTTTTGCTGTATTGCTCATGTGCTTACAAGCAGGGCCGGGTTTACTCTCTCTGCTGCCCCAAGGCCATTTCCCTCAATGCGCCCCTCCCCCCCTCTATGGAGAATGGCAGACCTGCAGATTGCATATAAGTGATTTCAGCGACATCGCCGAGATCACTTGTACAAAACAAGCGGCGACCTCCCTGTACATTTAGTTCTGCTTGCCCAAAGCAGGGCTAAATGTAGAAAACAACTACCCGCCCGGTGCCCGGAACTGCATGCCCCAGGCATCAGGAGATAGGAATTCCACACCCCTGCTGCCTCTCTACTCCCTGCTGCCCCAAGGCCGGGCCTTGGTTGGCCTTGTGGGAAATCCAGCCCTGCTTACAAGGGAGATAGAAGAAGAGAACAAAGTGACAGAGAGGTGAGCTCATCAGTCTGCTGCTTCTCCTTTCACTGTCCAGTCACAGGCTGGGGGAAGGACAAGACCTGTAAGTGTTACTGAACTGCAGCAGAGACAAAATCTGGTCTTCTGCCGTGCCAGACATGTGTGTGATGTGGTAGAGCTGTATAAATCACAAGACTGGAAGGAGCGTAGACATGTGCGATTCGTTTCGCTCCGAATCAAACTTTATATGAATTTTCCAAAATTCAGACATTTGGACACATCCGAATTTACGAATCCCAATGCGTCCGAATCCGAATTTCCATTTAGGAATTTCGGATCCCGTCCGAATTTCGTTCAAAAACTAAAATGAATCGAGCATTTTCTGGCCAATCAGATGTGTTTTTCGGTTTAATGCATCTGAATCCGAATTTTCGAATTGCATTTGGGAGCTCCTGACAGCCATTCGGGTCCGGGAGCCTCAGCTTTAGTATTAATATCTGTATATGGTTTTCTGTGGTATTCACAATGAATATTCGTAAACTTATCCAAAACTAACGAAAATTCACATTTTGTCCGAAACCCGAACCAAATTGAATTTCGGATCTGAATCACGAAATTTCCAAACCGAGAAGAATTTTTCCACAGCTTACATGTATAATGGAGAGAAATCCAAGTTCTCCGGCAGGTTAAACAGCTCCCTGTTTATGCATTTTATGCACCGCATCACATGCTCCCCCATAGCCAAAAGCACCAGGTAACTTAGGGGGGCACCAACTGAGCAACAAAATGGCAGAGGAATGGGGTGAAGTTGAGTATAAGTGGGTCAGGGATGAGCTGTGACTTAATCACTTTGATCTGAATGGGCAAAATTAGTCTTTTTAGTGGTAGACAAATTAATATTGAATTCAGGATCCCGATTGTCCAATCCAGGAGCCAGGAGGATTCTTTTTTAGAAGCCAGCTCCATTGAGAACAACTAGAGAAAACCCTCAAAAAATGAGGCAGCAGCTTCAAATTTTAAGAAGCATTGGCCACCTAGCTCCTGGGATGTCTCCAGGCCTGCTTTAAGTTGAATGATTATCGTTTGGGGCACGGTTAAGGTTTAGTCTTGGCTTTTTGGGGTTTGACGTTATGTTACCAGTAGGCTTTATGGGTTAATTTTTGGCTCGTTGTTCTGACTTGGGGTTAGCTTGAGGTTTACAGTCACGGGTGAGGTTTATGTTTACAGGAAATTGTGGAGTGCAATGCATTGAGTGTGATCATTTGAGGTTGCTGCCGTATCAGTTTAGATAGTCAGGTGTGAAATTTCTTAGTGTTGAACTGAACGTGCCGAAAATAACCACCAATGATAAGCAAGCCTGCACTGCACATCTATTCTCCTCTCACCGCTCACTCCAAGCCCTCTTGTGTGGGTATCTCAGTTTTAGTCACCATAGAATTGGTTGATTTAGAAGTAGCAATGATAAGAAGGCTTGCTCTTGAAGCCCAGACATGCCACAGGACTAGGAAACCTTCTCTACAGGTACCCCAACAATGCTATTCTATTATCACAGTTGGACTGACTGGTTGCTGGAGAGGACCTTCCATGGTTGTAGAACAGGAGCCTCCAGGAACAAGACCACCAATCATAAGCAGGCCTGCACTGAACATCTATTCTCCTCTCACTGTTCACTCCAAGCCCTCTTGTGTGGGGACCTCAGCTTCAGTCACCATAGAATTGGTTGTATTTGAAGTGGCAATGAGAAGAATCCCTGCTCTTGAAGCCCAGACATGCCACGGTAATGGGAACCCTCTCTTTCCAGGGACCCCAACAATGCTCTTCCATTATTACAGGTGACCTCACTGGTTGCTGGAGAGGACCTTCAATGGTTGAAGAACAGGAGCCTCCAGGAACAAGACCACCAATGATAAGCAGGCCTGCCCTGAACATCTATTCTCCTCTCACTGCTCACTCCAAGCCTTCTTGTGTGGGGACCTCAGCTTTAGTCACCATAGAATTGGTTGATTTAGAAGTAGCAATGAGAAAAATGCTTGCTCTTGAAGCCCAGACATGCTACAGTAATGGGAACCCTCTCTTTCCAGGGACCCCAACAATGCTCTTCCATTATCACAGGTGGCCTCACTGAGAGGACCTTCCATGCTTGTAGAGCAGGAGCCTCCAGGAACAAGACCTGTGCTCTCATTCCATGGCCAACAAACATGTACTCTATCCGATCCCGGCATAAAAGAATTCCCTGCCCTGGCTTCACTGCACCTTTAGCTCAGCCTGACCTTCCATTGAATCTCTTCCTGCCCCCCAAACCCAACTGATATCCATAAATAGGCCAAGCAACTGACTACTGAGGTCCAAGTCCATGCAGTTCCTATGCAGCTTAGGGGAAAAATGTCAGAGTACCGTACTTCTAGGTACACTAGAGATACACTTGATGGAGCATAAAAGGGTTGGACCCTCTGTCAGGTTTTATGGTCGTCTCTGACCCCATCTGGTAAGGTTCATTGTTTTCTTTTGTCCTGATGGCCATCGTCTCTGAGAAAGAAAGTGATGGGAGATCCAAAATATTATGGTTGTCACACGAGGTGAGGGGAAGTCTTCCGGTGGAGACACCTGTTCTCCCGACAACTATCTAAAAGGGGAATTGCCCTAGCATTGGAGAGAGTTCCTCCTCCTTCTTGTTTGGTCTCTAGGACAGGAAGTGAAGGCAAATTTTCCCAAATGAACCAACTAACCAATTTCTACTGCACAAACAAAAAAAAAGTTAAGTCTGTAGATACACTTTGGGGTCTATTTATTTGCCCTTTGCCCTGAAAATCTCGTTCTGTGTAAACGATTGCACAAAATGAATGTTTTTAGCATATTTTCTAAGTCGAGTGTCATCATGTCATACCATATTATGGCCACAAGATGGCGCAAACGAGCATAGGAAATAATTACTTCCTTCCTATGCTCCTCAGCTCCATCTAGTGGCCATAATGAGGTATATGACATATAGTACTGGACCGGAATGGAAATGTAATAGGAGCATTCGTTCTTGCCTCCATTCACACAGAACAAACATTCATGGAGTTTCACATGGCGAATGGCCCTGCAAATTGTTTTAGAAATACATCCCATTACATTAAAAGCACAAAAGGGATGAATTATTCTTCTCATCACCATAAAATTAAATAAAAAAAAAAAGATTTTTGCAGGGATCCCAGGGGTGGGCAACTCTGGCCCTCCAGCTGTGGTTTACCTACAAATCCCAACATGCCTCTGCCATGACATGGGAGTCATGCCTGTAACTGTCAGTCTTGCAATGCCTCATGGGACTTGTAGTTCCACAACAGCTGGAGGGCTGGAGTTGCCCACCCTTGGCTTATTCTGTCACGGTCCCCTCCTCCTAATGTTGTAGTTCCAAAAAGTGATATCACATTCACAGGGCTGGTGCTACCACTAGGCAAACTGGGCAGCCGCCTAGGGCGCACTGCTGCCTAGGGCGCAGCCACGGCCACTCATCCCCCCATGGTGGCCCCCATCTATTTCAAATTGCAAGACCCAATAGCAGGCTGGCTATTCCACCCACCCACTGAGCAGAGGAGCGGAATTCAGAGACAACTTTCTCTCTCAGGTCAGCTCCTCTGCTCAGTGGATAGGGTTACAATAGCCAGTCTGCTATTGGCTATTTCAAATTAAAATAGCCAAAAGCAGTCTGGCCATGGCTCCAAGCTGCTTACATGCCTGCGGGAGCTAGCCGGCAGGAGAATGGGCCCGCACGGCAGGGATTGGGGGTTGTGCCGTGGGAGGGGGGCAGGAGGGTGCTGCTCTTGCCTAGGGTGCAAATTAGTCTAGCACCAGCCCTGCACATTCATTCCGGCTCGATCCTGGAGAACACAAAGCAGCCAACATTTTGGAATGGACTGAACTGTCTTCTTAAAAGATTTCACCTGATCTGCATTCCCCAGAAATCTTCCCAGAAGGACGGCGACATTATGCCCAGCGATGCTGAAGACGAAGTGTAAATCTGACTTTTTTCTTACAGGTACATTTTGGAACTACTAAAGTTCGGCAATTTTTTAAAGAGGGAGGGGCCTGTATAATATATGCAGACTTGCATTGAGTTGCAAGGTCCACATTAATGGATACATAAAGAATAACTCTCTACAAATGATTATAACGCGGATCCAGCCAGCAGAATGCCACACTGCTCATGTCCACCAGGTGGAGCTCTGCAGTAACACAA